AGGGGCCTGGAGCCAATCGATGCTGCCACTGGGTCGTGGTGCGGAGCGGGGCACTGGGGGCTGTGTAGACGGGGCACCTGTCCCTGGCAGCCCATTTCCCCTGCCAGACCTGGGGCAAGGGCTGGGCAGGGGTGGGGGAGCCTTCCTGGGGCGGCAGGAGGCAGGGGGCCCTGTGCACTTCAAGCCACAGGACAGTAGGGGGGAAAGGGCCCCCGGGAGGTCACCTCTGGTCCCCCCTGCTCCAGCAGGATCGTCCCTATCTAAACTGCTGTAGAAAGTTGGTCTCACTTGGCTTTAAAACTGCATGAGAGCGTTTCTGCGCAGCTGCGAGGCGCAGAGCCCAAAACACTAGGAACAGCCTGAGCTGCCAAAGGGCAAGCAGGGGCACGAGGGCAGTGTCGGTGTCCTGCTGCCGCAAGGATCCCCTGAGAGACCCCGGGAAGAGGACCGTGCCCTCCTTGGGCCCTCGCGCCTGTAGAGAGCGAGACGAGACCCCCACGGTCATGGGACGATGTTCCTGCGACTGCGCGGTCTGGCCCTGAGCCGAGGGGCAAGATCCCCAGCCGGGAGCCTCCGAGAGCATGCCCCAGCAGGAGCCTTGGCCCAGCCCAGTCCCAGTCCCCGTCCCCATCCCCATCCTGGGCTGCAGCCAGCACCCAGCGCCTCTCGGGGAGGTGAAGAAACCGTCACAGCTGTAACAGTCCCACGCGGTGACCAGCAAAGCCCAGCGCCCTCCGCTCTGCCCTCAGCCAATGCAGCTTTGCCCTTGGCAGCCGCCAGCTGCCGTCAGGGCTCCCCTGGCCGTCACCTCACCCCTGCCAAGTGCCCGTAGCTCGTCCGTCCTGTGTCACGAGCAAGGCGGTGGTGGAGCTGTGCCCGGTTCTGCTGCGGCTCAGCACCATCCTCTCCGAGCTCCCCCTGCCCTGCGCTGCAGAGCTCTTCCCGGGTCTCCAAGCGATGCAGGTGTGGGGGCTCCTGGGCTTCACAATGACTCCTGGTGCTGCTCCTCCTCCGTCATCCCTGACCCGTGGCTGTCCAGCCTCTTCTCAAGCACCTCTGGTGATTTAGCTTCCACCACTTTCCTGGGAGTGTGATCCAGTCTCTGTGCTCTAACAGTGAAGAAGTTTTTCCTGGTATCCAGTCTAAACCTGCTTGTCTGCAGCTTGGAGCCATTGCTGTGTGTCATTTGTGCTGCAGCAAGAGAGAAAAGGTGTTCTTCCCCTTCTCCGTGGCAGCTCTTCAGAGATGTGACTGCAGGGGAAGGGGGTGGGCTGGGGGGCTGCCTGGGCCACGGGGCCACCGTTGTGCAAACCTAGAAGTAGCGAGTGCACGTGGACAAAAGCAAGGTGAGATTTGGCTAGCCCAGCAAGGCAGCTGGACCTGAGCCAGTCGGTGGGACCCCATCAGCCGTGCTCCGCTGGAGCCGACTTCCCGGGACCCTGGCGCGGAGCCAGTCGCCCTCCCACGCGTTGGCAGCTCCTCCTAGTGTTGCCTCAAATGTGCCTGGAGGGGAGGCCGTGCTCTGCCTGAACCAGTTCTGTTGCATATAAAACGGGATATTTAGTGCTTTGAGAGGACTGACACCACACTCCCATGGATATTTAGCAGAAAGGCTTTATTAATTAGATAACAACCTTATAGGAAAATGACTGGAAGGCTATTGCAGTTAACAAATAAAGCAAGCTAAATCAAGTCCAGTATCTCTGTTGGCCATAATAGTGTTTTCTCATCAACATGGGCAAGGGAGCGGTTCTGATCATTGCAGCTGTCATCAGGCATGGATCCGCCACCGAGGGCGGTCAGGCAGGTGCGGTTCACGATGGGTCAACGTGGTTCTTCTCTCCTGGGATGAGCGCGCTTTGCTGGCAGCTTCCCTCTTTCCTTACACTCGTTCTTCAAAGCGTATTTTCTCGATGGACAAAGCATTAGAGCTCAGACAAAGCCCCCAGGGTGGCAGGTCACTGCCTTTGATTGTATTGTAGATGTTAACCTTTTGGGTCCATCCCTGGTTGTTGTTGGTCAAAGTGACATGCACAAAAACCTTGATCCCGCCGGGAGTTTACCATTTAATTAATTGCAATAGGACTTGATTAATTCAATCAAGCCCCTTAGACCAAGAAGGGTGAGACACTGACTCTATAGACACATCAGGGCAGATCCCAAAATATTTGCCAACTGGAATAGCTGCCTAGGAA